GTCCTAAGTTATTATTCTTGATACTTTTAAGAGGTAAATGGCAACCAAGAGAAGTGTTACTTTTTGGAGAAACTTTCTTTAATATTCCTCAAAAAACTCCCAACTTCATACACTTTGTAAAACTATTTTTTCAAGCTTACTGATTTTCATGTCTAATACACATGCCTCATTTTAATCAGCTATAAAAATGCCACTGTATCAGTGAATTAATATCTATTCAACCAACCCCACTGATGAACACTTACCTTCTTTCCAATTGTATTACTAAACAATGCTGTTCTGAACATCCCTCACCTCACATTTCTGTAAAATCTATCTCTAGAAATGGAACCTCCAGATCAAAGCAAATTCTCCTCTTTTCTTTTTGCTACTTTTTATTTTGGCTGCACTGGGTCTTTGTGGCAGCACACAGGCTTTCTCTAGAGTCAAAGGCAAACCTTAAAATGTTGACAGATTTTGCCAAATTACCCTTCAGAGACAGTATCAGTTAAACTCAACAATTTCAGTACCAGTTTCCCTATACCTTCACTAGGGCTGGATATGCATAACCTGTTAGATCTTTGTAAGGCAAGTAACGTTAAGCCAATAGTTAAGAATTTAAGTTGATATTTTACCACAGCCTTTTCAGTGCCATGAGGAAAAAAGCAATTTTAGTGAAGCATGTGTAAACTGTAAGTCTACTCATGTCACACACCCCAGAACACAATAATTTATGAAAGTCCACAGAAAAATACAGCTTAGGATAAAGAACAAATTTATGTGATTTTTTTTTAAGACTTTTTTAAGTAAAGAACTCTATTACTTTATTTACTTAATTATTTTTGCAGGATGTTAGTTCTCCAACCAGAGATTGAACCCACACCCTTGGCAGTTGAGAGAACAGAGTCCTAACCACTGGACCGCCAGGGAATTACCATAGAATGAGTTTTAAACCCTCAGGAGGAAGCAAAGAAAATGTAACAAACAGAAACAGCAAAAGCACTCAACCTGGGCTTCCCTAGCGGCTCAATGGTAAAGACTCCACCTGCCAGTGTTGGCAGGAGAGTTGGTTTGATCCTTTGTCTGGGAAGATCCCACATGCCCTGGGGCAACTGAGCCTGTCCACAACCACTGAGCCTGTGCTCTAAAGCCCAGGAGCCGCAACTGAGCCCATCTGCCACAACTACTGAAGCCCGCATGCTGTGGAATCTGCTCCGAAATGAGAAGCCACTGCAGTGAGGAGAGAAGCCCGTGAAGCAACCAAAACCTAGCACATTCAAAACACTCAATGAGGACAGAGATTAAAATTTTCTCCACCAGTTAAGTTTTATAACTTATCCTCTACTCTCTCAAAGTCCTTACTACTGTAATAGACAAAATTCCAAAATGGCCCCAAGACCTCCATGTGTTCCACCATGTTACCCCTGTATAATCCCCTCCCCCTGCATGTGGGCAGGACCTATGACATGCTTCTAACCAAAATACAGCAAAAGTGACAGGATGTTGCTCCCTTGAACAGGAAGATGGGGTGTCCCTCTGAAGACTAAACTATAAAACTCTCAGCAGACTAGAGAAACTCAATGCTGACTCTGAAGCAAGCTGCCATGTTGGGAGAGGGCCTACATGAGAGGGATGTAACAAGGTAACAAGCTGGGTAACAAGCAACTGCAGGTAGTTTCAAGGACCTGAGACCAGCCTCCAGCTGAAAGCCAGCAAGAATGCAGATACCCCAGCCCTACAGCTGAAATACGAATTCTACCAAAACCTGAGGGAGCTGGGAAATCAATCTTTCCCGGCTGAGCCTCTCCAGCTGACAGACACCTTGATTGCCTCTTATGTGAATCTCTGAACAGAGGACCTAGCAAAGCTATGCCTGGACTCCTGATGTTTATAATCTGTGAAATAATGTGTATGTTAATGTTTTATTATTTTTATTATTATTATTTTTTTTTATTTTTGTTATTTTTTTTTTGATTCCTTTTGTTTTTGTTTTTTTTATGCATCAATAAAACTAACTCACATGCCTCGAATACCTAGGATAAGCCTTTTTGTTTTTTTAAATCAGTACCACCCATAATTTAATCAACAAAGACTGAGCAGCTTCACTCCATTACCAATTCATGTAAACTGATAAGCTTTGACAAAGAATAATCAAAAATTAGAGGAAAACATTATTACTTTTTTAAAAAAAGATAATACTCACAAAAGGAACAGTGCACTTTCTGACATGGCCAAATTGTGCAAAGTGTTCTCTCAGCTCACCTGTATAAGAAAAGAAAACATATTTTTTAAGTTGTTATTGTTTTATCCTCCATCCTAGATTCAGATAGAAACCAAGAGGGGTCCTAGAGCCCCCAAACTCCTTGTGAACAAGTGCTAGTTTGTATTTCCTTGCAGCTTTAAGATCCAGGAAACCATTATGGTATTGATTATAAAGCTGTAATGTAAAAAAAATAATAATAATAAAGCTATAATGTACCAGATTTGGGGAGGTATTGGGGTGGGGGGACATGGACAGATAAACTGCTGAGCTGACTTAAGTCTTCATCCCCAGCAAGTGCTGAGTCTTCACCATACCAGGTACTATGCTAAATGCATGGATTAAAATCCCCGTAAGATGATCACACAGGAAACAGTTAAACAATCACAATACTGTGTGTTAGCTATATTAGAGATTTCCAAATAAAATCTCAATCTCAAGAATATCTGCAAAAGTGACCATGGATTTTACATTTTGGTGAGCAAATGTAAAAACCTTAACTCAAAACTACAGTTGACAAAAAGCAGTGTTGGTAACAGAAGTCAGTATGATCACTCCCCAACTCTCTATGTCCAGCCTAAGCCTCTCCCATGAGCTTCAATTTTTGTAATCATGAAAACAATTATCATTTATTGAGTACCTTTCCTGTATTGAGTACAAGTCTAAGCACTTGTGTTTACATATAAATTCATTTAATACAATCAACACCCCTAGGAGAAATGTATTATTGACTCCATTTTATGGTTGATGAAACTGAGGCACAGTGGTGAGCCCTTTTCCCCCAATTACGTTCCCTTAGGTACGCACCTTAGGTTTTGAACTGTGGTGTTGGAAAAGACTCTTGAGGGTGCCTTGGACTGCAAGGAGGTCCAACCAGTCCATCCTAAAGGAAATGAGTCCTGAATATTCATTGGAAGGACTGATGCTGAAGCCGAAACTTCAATACTTTGGCCACCTGATGAGAAGAACTGACTCATTAGAAAAGACCCTGATGCTAGCAAAGATTGAAGGCGGGAGGAAAAGGGAACGACAAAGGATGAAGTGGTTGGATGGCATCATTGATTCAATGGACATGAGTTTGAGTAGACTCCAGAAATTGGTGATGGACAGGGAGGCCTGGCGTGCTGCAGTCCATGGGGTCGCAAAGAGTTGGACACAACTGAGCGACTAAACTGAACTGAACTAGGTTACACAACTACCTAAAGACCAAGTTGGAATTCTAACCCAAGGAGAACCACTTCGGAATGCATTTCTCAATCTATGCACAATGTCCCCTGTCCAGCTAACAGAGAACTCACAGGTTTCTGAAACTAAACACATTTAAACTTTACTCATCTTCTTTCGATCTGCTTCTCCTACATTCTAATCACCAAATTCACCAACATTAAAAACCTGGAGGTCATTCCTACCTTTCCCCCATTCCATACTCTTCCCCATTTAAGCCGTCACAACATCTTTCGATTATTCTTTGGTTAACATAAGTGGACCTGACCCCCTCCTTCTATAACTACCCTGGAGTCTTCACTTTTGAACTAAACTACTGAAACTACCTCTTGTCACGCTGAATCCGTCCCCACACTGCAATCAAAACAACTGCTTCTAAATCATAAATCTTAACAGTTTCCAAGTTCAGTTCAGTTTAGTCGCTCAGTCGTGTCCGACTCTTTGCGACCCCATGGACTGCAGCACGCCAGACCTCCCTGTCCATCACCAACTGCCGGAGTCCACCCAAACCCATGTCCATCGAGTCGATGATGCCATCCAACCATCTCCTCTTCTGTCGTCCCTTTCTCCTCCTGCCCTCAGTCTTTCCCAGCATCAGGGTCTTTTCAAATGAGTCAGCTCTTCGCATCAGGTGGCCACAGTACTGGAGTTTCAGCTTCAGCATCAGTCCTTCCAATGAACACCCAGGACTGATCTCCGCTAGGATGGACTGGTTGGATCTCCCTGTAGTCCAAGGAACTCCCAAGAGTCTTCTCCAACACCACAGTTCAAAAGCATCAGTTCTTCGGTGCTCAGCTTTCTTTACAGCCCAACTCTCACATCCATACATGACCACTGAAAAAACCATAGCCTTGACTAGACGGACCTTTCTTGGCAAAGTAATGTCTCTGCTTTTCAATATACTGTCTAGTTTGGTTATAACTTTTCTTCCAAGGAGCAAGCGTCTTTTAATTTCATTGCTGCAATCGCCATCTGCAGTGATTTTGGAGCCCAGAGAAATAAAGTCAGCCACTGTTTCCACTGTTTGCCCATCTATCTGCCATGAAGCGATGGGACCAGATGCCATGATCTTAGTTTTCTGAATGTTGTTTCCAAGTAATTAAAGCTTTAAACTCCGAAAGGCTGGAAACGGCGAATGGGTGCCCCCAAAGCTCAAGAGGCATCCCTTAAACGGCTAATTGCAGACAAAATTTCTTTCTACTCACTGGCTTGCTCAAGAGCACACTCAGCCTCCTTAATCCAGCCACCACGCGGATTTAAGTGCTTCGCAGCAAGCAAGGCTTTTCAGGATTGCTCGGACCTAAAAATTCCGCCCGCCCCTACTACATTTCCAACTCACTTGAGGCCGCCGTCCAGGGAATTTTTCTGACAAACGCAACCGGCCGGCCGATATTTGTACGCAGCGCCATAGCGCCCCTCGCTGCAGAAGCCGCCATCTTTAGGCTGAGGAACTTCTAGTGACCTGAGGTCACGACCCCGGAAGAGCCTGCCTAATCCTGAATATGGAAGTCAGCTTCCGGGTCAGGGGGGCTGGGCAACGAGATGGGGAAGATGGCGGCGGCATTGGGCTCCGTGGCGACGCTGGCAGCTGAGCCTGGGGAGGATGCATTTAGGAAGCTTTTCCGCTTTTACCGGCAGAGCCGCCCCGGAACCGCAGATCTGGGAGGGGTCATCGACTTCTCGGTGTCCCACGCAGCCCGCGGCACGGGACCTGGTGCCCCCAAGGTACGGAGAGAGGAGCGGAGCGCTCGGACGCCATGGGCTGAGCAGTTGTGGCTCAGGGACTTAGTTACCTCCTGACATGTGGAATCTTCCCGGACCAGCAATTGAACGTGTGTCCCCTGCGTTGGCAGGCGGACTCTTAACAACTGGACCACGAGGGAAGTCTCTTAAGATAGTCTTAAATGCCAGGAAGCCTCCATAGGTCCCTTAAAAGTTTAATTTATAAGTAATTCACAAAGATAAAAAGTTAGGAGTTTCGGTTAGAAGTTTCATCTAAAAGAGAGCAACTATGGTGCTTTTAGTAAACAAAATTCCTAGTGTTTTATTGAAAGATTTTTTTCTGACTAGAGCACTCCAGCCTGGTGTTCCTCAAAGCCCTGTTTAAACACCGTGGTTCAAGTTCCTCAGAAGCATTATCGTTAGTCCTAACCAAAGGTAGTCCATATACCAAACACCTTTGATAATTCAGAATCTTATTTTTAAAAAATCACAAAGGTGTGGTATCGTAGGAGAAGATAGTGTTAAAGGCCAGAGTAGGTCAGCTCCTCATAACGACTTCAATTTTGTATAGCTGTGTTGTGTTTATTAGTACATAGCTCATCTAAGTCTTACATCAAGTAAATGGTAGAACTAAGTTTGTTGTTGTTGTTCTGTCGCTAAGTTGTGTCCGACTTTTTGCAGCCCCATGGACAGCAGCATGCTAGGCTCCTCTGTCTTCCACCACCTCCTGGAGTTTGCTCAAATTCTTATGCATTGAGTCAGTGATGCTACTAACCGTCTCATCCTCTGCTGCCCCCTTGAGTCGGCTCTTGGCATCCGGCAGCCAAAGTATTGGAGCTTCAGCTTTAGCATCGTTCCTTCCAGTAAATATTCAGGGTTGATTTAGGACCCCAGACTTAAGACTCCTATCTGCTGCACATCAGAAGTGCGTTTAGAGGTTTGAGATTCTCAGAGTTAACCTGTGAAATAGCTTTAGCCTGCTGACTTCTGTTTCCTTCCTGTCAGGTGGTCAGATCTCAGCTGAATTTGTCCTCAGTCAATGACCATGATGCACTCAGAGCAGGACTTCAGCCGGTCAGCAAGTGGCAAGCCTACGGACTCCAAGGCTATCCTGGTGAGTTCAGTTGATCTTAGAAGGCAAAAATTACTCAATCATTTGTCTCATTTTGGAGAAGGAGTAAATAGACAAAGAAGAAAACTAAAGGTACAAATGTTTCGCTCCCAAACCCCTCCTGAATTCTTCCTTGTCTATGATGTCCATTTATTTGGCATTTTCATAGGATAGACCAGGAGTCAGTAATGCGTGCCTTATAGTGCAGGAAGTGACAAACCAGGTGCAAATCAAAGATTAGAACCCTGACTCTGGGCTCCCTGCCACAGCTCTGAACCGAAGAAGCACTTCGAATTGATAGAGTAACTCATCACATTCACTCCAATCACAAAATCCCTACATTCACAAATGATGTAACAACTTAAAAGCTGTTGCTGTTATCAAGACTGAATTTTTGAATAGAGAACTACAGTTAATGAAATCAAAAGTCCTATAAGGTGAAATAATCTAGATTTTTTAATTTCAGTGATGTCAGGTAGTTCACTTTACAGATAGAGAAATTAAGATAATAATGAAAAGTGGGTAATGTTAGTAACCTTTTTTCTAGGCTCATGGGGCCATTGTCGATTAATTATCATGAACCATTTAGAAAATATATAGTGCCTTATTTGGCCAGACGATCTTATATCTCCCTTCTGTTCCTCAAAGACATAAAGTTAACATTTCACTTGTGATTTCAAATGCAGGTCAAAAGCCAGAGAAATTCCTTTAAAAATTTAGTTTTTTTGTTGTTCCAAGAGCCAGGTCTGTGTTACAGCTATTAATACTTTATGACCACTGAAGTGTATATGTTGCTATCATGGAAAGAGGTAACAACTTTCATGCTTCTGTAAAAGGCCACATGCACTTTTGTGTCTGAAGTCACCAAGGAAGGGCTTGAGTGGTGGCTTTTACATATGAAAGCACTGCTCTTCGCGCGTTTGAATAGATGAGCCTTTGTCATCAGTAGTGTTTTGTGCCCCTTTTATTCCTGAAGGTGGCCCTTTACCTTTCAGGCCTTGATCCTGTCTTCATCCGTGTTTACCAGATTGTTCAGGCTACAAAGTTTGGTTTTCTGTTGTCCGTGTTGGAATATAGGCATACCTCATTTTATTTTGCTTTACAGATAGTTTTATCTTTACAAACTGAAGTTTTGTGGCAACCCTGGATTCAGTTTTATCTTTACAAACTGAAGTTTTGTGGCAACCCTGGATTAAGCAAGTCTTTTTTTTTCCAACAGCATTAGCTCACTTTGTGTTTCTGTCACATTTTGGTGATTCTCATAATATTTCACCCCCTCCACCAGCAAAAAGGTTACAGCTCACTAAAGGCTCAGATGATGGTTAGCGTTTTTCAGCATTGTTTTATATAATCCAAATAAATAAAACTTTTAAGTAAAATGTGTTCGTTTTTTAGACACAATGTTACTGCATAAATAGAATACAGTATAGTGTAAATTTTCTTGCACTGGGAAACAAAAAATCTTGTGACTTGCAATACTTGCTTTATTGCAGTGGTCTAAAGGTCAAAGTGTCTGTGAGGTATGTCTCTGCTTGGTATTTGAAGTTTTCTGGGATTTCACACTTAAGCTACATCATTTGAGTTGGTACTTCATTATGTCCTTAAAGTCTTTATTCTGTCTTTCCTGCCATTATATAAGCTGCATTTAATAGAAGTACAATGTCCATAACATGGGAAACGAGTCTCACCTTACTCTGACTTGATCAGAAGGATTATGTTTACTTCAGGACCCTGCATGTTCTGAAGGGACCTGAGTAAACCACAGGCTGTCCTTACAGGAGTGAGCAGGAGGGTGATGATCTGAAGACCAGATCCTGGGCCTTGGGCAGGTAGACCTGGGGGGCCGTGATAACATCACACGTTATCCTGCATAGGAACAGGTGGAAAACAGGGCATGCTGGTGATTAAGGTCTGACACCAGACTCTGGGCTCATGTCCCGGCTCTGCCACTTCCTACTGTGTGATCCTGAGCAAGTTTCTTAATCTCTCTTGGCCTCAGTTTCTTTATATGTAAAATGTGTTAAAAGATAGTACCCACTTTATAAGGATAGAATTCAATGTGAGTGTACGTGTAAAGTACTTAGGTCAGTTTCTGGCACACAGTAAATGCTCAGTAAATGTTAGCTACATAGTTAGAGGCATTTATCAAGAAGAGTTGAAAACTGATTTGGGGTTGCTGTAGATGTCAGGACCTAAGACCAATGCATGAAAAATTAAAATTAGGCAAATTTTTACTCCATAAAAGGAAGACAGCAGTTGTCTGGAACCAACTGCCTATAAAAGTGTTCAATTTCCTGTCACTGCTCAAACCTGAATTAGATGGGAAGTATTCTTTGTTTAATGTGATATCTTTGGGAGCATTATAATATTCTTATTTTGTAAAGTAGTGGTGATAACAGTCATTGGAAATTTTTCTCGTATCTTTTTTTTCTCCAAAATATCAACAGTTCTATCATTCTTAAATTATTTGGAGAATTTGACTTATACATGAAATACAAAAATGACCTCCACACTTCTAAGTGAGTGTTTATTCCTGTCCTGAATTTTAGAAGAAGAGGGATCCCTTCTGTTCAGAACCATTCTCTTCACCTTTTGATCCTGCCTTCTACCCCTTCCAGTTTTCAAGACCTCCCTGTGTTCCTTTTCCCTCTCCTATATTCGGCCAGTTCCTTTCTGCTGGCTCTTTGCTCCTCATCTGTAAGCATGCGTAGGTCTTTCCAAACTCTCCCCTTATTCTTCTCTGGCTCCTTCTCAGCCTTTGTTTCCCTTCACAGCCAGACTTCTAAAAGGCATTATCTGTATAACTGTCTCTACTGCTCTGTCTCCAGGTGCTTCTTGGGACAGAGTTTTTCATCTGTCTTTAATTCTTAAGAAAGTCCATACAGTGTATGTGTGTTGAATGTTGACGAGTGAATCGTTAACTATGCATGATTCCAGTTAGCATTGTTAACTCCTCTTTTACAGAGGAGAGATGGCTAGGTGTTTGCATACTGGACAGATGTCCATACTGTCTTTCTTCCCTGTTACAGTAGTCAGAGTTCAGAAGAGTCAGAAATCACAACAATTGTTCTGAGATAATATAATATTAAAAAAATAATAATTAGCCAGGTATTAGAAAACAGAAAAGGCAAAAAGGCAACACTGAGATATCAGAGAAATAGTAACTACAGGAAGCAGCTTCCACCTCTGTAAATGATACTTGTTGAAATTTGAAGGGTGACTTGGCAGTTTTAGTTCTGAAGTTTGCTTCGGGGTAACACAATTAATAATTATAATACTTTTTCTCTCGAGAATAACTCAAAAAGCCAGAGATAATTGCATAGTGATAGATGTTTGTGACCATCATCAAAACAGCTTTTTATTAACTTAAAGGAACGCCTCTTCCCCTAAAACTGAAGTGTAGGAATGAAAACTTATGTTTATGTGTGGAAGCATTAGCAAAAGGAGGTGTGAATAAATAATAAAGTAGGGGGTGTAAAGATGTCAACAAAAATAAATGATCTGATTAACTGATGGAGAATTTCCTCCTCTCCTTTTTCTCTTGTCCATCTCTGTATAGGATTTATTTTTATCTCAAACCCCTTCCTCCCAGGTTACCAGTGGCACTGGGTAAAGCAGTGCCTTAAGTTATATTCCCGGAAACCTAATGTATGTAACCTGGATAAGCATATGACTAAAGAAGAGACCCAGGATTTGTGGGAACAGAGCAAGGAGTTTCTAAGGTAAGTCATACCAGTCACAATAAACCACCAGTATTCAGCTCAGGTCATCACAGGTCTTTAAAGGGACTACTCTATAATAGTTCAGTGAAAGTAACTGACCTGCTTTTTTTTTCTCTGATGTCCACTCAAATACAGCACAGTTATATTCTTTCCCCCAGGAACATTTGGACAGAAGCTTTGACAGTTATAGTAAATTGAGATCCATTTTTAAAGTTTAGCTTATCATAGCTTAGATAATGAGTTCATCCTCATTAATCATTAGATAATCCATTTTTATTCAGCTTCACCCTTTTTTCTGTGTGAAGAGAGTTCCTTTGAAGCTTTATAGTATCCTGAAGAGAGTAACACTAAAAGCTCTTCTGCTGTCCTAGATGAAGTCAGTATTACTATCTGTTTAATGGTGGTCAGCTGTTTCTTCATGAAAACTAGTCTTTGTACCTTAATGTTGTTTCAGCATTTCATTTATTCTACAGATATTTTTTGAGGGTCAGTTGTGTGCCAGACATGATGCTAAGCATTGGAGATACACAGTACAAAGGTAAACAAGACACTGTCTCTGCACTCAGGAGTGCATAGTCTATGGCAGGAACTCAGTATCAACAGGAATAAGATAACAGAGCTCAGAAAGTGTTAGAATAGGTGTTTATGAAAATGCTGTGGGGAATCAGAGGAAGAAGTAATTCTTACAGGCAGGAAAGAAGTGTCAAAGAAGGAAAAATGATTTTTTAATTGGGCCTATTGTAATGAATCTTCAAAAACAATTAGGTGTTTACCCGTCAGAATAGCAAAAAGGTTGTTTGGGATAGAGAAAGCAGCCTTAGCAAAGACAGAGTAACTTGTTCTCTGATACAGGAGCACAGAAGGTATACATTCATGTGTTTATTCAGCAAATGTCTGTTGAGTTTCTGCTGTGCCAGATTTTGTGCTTAAGTGTTAGAGATTCAAGACAGAAAAAACACAGTTCCTGCCTTCAAGGAGTTGTAGGTTAGTCAAGGACAGAGACATGTGCACATATAATTAAATACAATTTGGAAAGTACAGGGATAGAGTTTGTAAGATAATGAGTATGGTCAAGTAAGTGGCTTGACTGAAGGTGGATGGTGGAAGACGCTTCCCGAAAGTCCGAATAGGGTTGACAAGCGGTGACGCCGGAAGGGTCGGTTAGGGCCAGGCTGTCACGAGGGTCGTGGTGTAAAGCACTGCTTCCAGAGTCCAGTTGCCTGGGCTCACACCCCGGCTCTGCCGGCAGAGCGGCCCTCGCCAGCTTTGGTGACCTTTGGCGGTTTCACCGTCCGTGCCTCAGAGCGGTCTTCTCCTCATGTAGTAGTGTTAGGGTTAGGCAGGTGATGTGTGAGAATTCCTTAGAACAGCCTGTTAAAGTCTTTGTGCCAGTTTTGTGTGTGTTGTTTGGACTTAATTTTCAGAAACTATGTCATATTGTTTAATGATACAGTTTTCAGAAACTATGTTATATTAATTGTAACAGGGAAGTAGATGATTTTCTTAAGCTGAAAGGAAAATAACAGTAAAATGCATTGGTTTTCCTTTAAAAATCCTCTTGGTCTGTAGGTTACATTACAAGTGAAAGCAGTGAGGAAAATCCTGTTACTAAATATGTCTTCTGTAGAATTGAGAGCAAGTAAAGGAAGATCCTGGCTGAGTGAAATTAGAGAGCTTAGAGTTTGTTACCTAAACCAGCCTCTGTTTTCAAAAAATTGATTTTTTTTTTTTTTTTGTTTCTAACAAATGATTCTCTTGTAATGCCAGTTGTCATCTTCTAAGATAGCTCAGATGAATCTCTGTAGTAAATCATCCTGTAAACAATGGTGAGATACTTTTTTTTTTGGTCTAATAAATTAGAAAAAATACAAAATGTGATGGTTATACCTTCTGTTGTCAAGGGTTGGAAGAAATTGATATGCTCAGACATTGCTGCCAGCCCTGAAAATCAATTAGGGCCTACTTTTCCTTCTGTCACTATAGGATAGATGTTTCAGTTTCCTCATCTGGGATACAGGGATTGGACTGGATAGCCATTCAGAGTGGCTGAATCATGGTCAGAGTCACCTAGACACTACTTGCCAGTTCTCCCACTTTTTCAGGGTGTATCAGAAAGGGAAAGGGTCTGTGGTTCAAAAAGATCTCCCTAAAATAAAAAAAAAAGATCTCCCTAAGATTTTGGTTATCTACTGTTACATTCACAGTAAGAACCACTGAATTAGAGGACCTCTAAGAATCCTTTCAATTTTAACTTTCTACATTTCTGTGGTCGGGGCAGAAGAAACTTTTAAGTAGAAAATGAAATATTTGGGACATATAAGCAAAAATAGATCTGTTCACAAAATTAGGGCACCCCAATTTTATGTTTTGTTCAGAGTTTGTTGTCAGTGAATGATCTAGCTAGAGATCCTCACCCAAAGAGTACAATAGTTGGGCGTAAGCATCTTTATTGCAGCATTGCTTGTGATGGGGGGGAGTGAGAAACAGCCTAAGTGTCTGTCAGCAGGATTTTACATCACCTAAGTGTCTCTCTGTAAGCAGCTTTATTATCGCATGGTTTATAATGGAGGGGAGAGGATGAGAAACAACCTGAGTGTCAACAGGAGATCAAACGTGACAGACCCCAGTAGTAGAATCAGGCACTAAACAGCCATTGAGAAATCCCACCTCCAGCCCTCCAACAAATATAGTAGCATCTACAGTTATAATGAATAAAATCATGCCTTGGTATCTCCATCACATCCACCCTAGTCTAAAGCCACCATCACTTAACTGCAGTGGCCTCCTAACCCGTCTGCTCTTGTGTCTGCTCTCGTCTCTCTCTACATAGAGTCTGTTTTCTTCATAGAGTATCAAAATCATGTCAGATCTTGTATAGTTCTTATCTGCAGTATCAGTATCAGTTCAGTCTCTCAGTTGTGTCCAACTCTTTGCAACCCCATGAACTGCAGCATGCCAGGCCTCCCTGTCCATTATCCACTCCCACAGTTCACCCAGACCCATGTCTATTCAGTCATTGATGCCATCCAACCATCTCATCCTCTGTCGTCTCCTTCTCCTGCCCTCAATCTTTCCCAGCATCAGGGTCTTTTCAAATGAGTCAGCTCTTCACATCAGGTGGCCAAAGTATTGGAGTTTCAGCTTCAACATCAGTCCTACCAATGAATACCCAGGACTAATCTCCTTTAGGATGGACTGGGTGGACTTCCCTGCAGCCCAAGGGACTCTCAAAGAGCCTTCTCCAACAGTTCAAAAGCATTCAATTCTGATGCACACCATCCAGAGTCAACACAGACACCACCTCCGAGTTTGGGAGACCCCCAGTCTGTGCACACTTCTGACCAACTGGGTACAAATTCAGGGGAATTCCCATGATGTCTTAGAACCCGTGATCTCCCTTCACTCAATGGAACAATTCACAAAACTCAAGAAAGCATTATACTTATGATTATAATTTTATTATAAAAAGTACAGATCAGGGCCATCCAGTGAAGAAACTACAGAGTGATGTCTGGAAGGATCCTGAACGCAGAGTTTCCGTGTCCTCTTCCCAGGGAATCAGGACATGTGGCTCTCACAGGAAGCTCCCCTGAGGCCTAGTGTTCGAAGTTTTAATTGGAATTTCACCACTTGAGCATGATTGATTGAATCATGGTTGAACTCAGTCTACCTGCCTAATACCACTTTCTAGCTTGACAGACCCACATCCTGAGTCATCTGTAAGCATAAACTCGGGCGTGGTCTTAGGGTCCACAGTAAATAACAGATACTCCTATCCCTTCCAGAAATTCCAAGGGTCTAAAAGCTTGCTTTAAAGAACCAGGGACAAAGACCAGTCAAATTCTCTGTGTACAGTCCCATCACACTTGGAACAAAATCAAATGTCTTTATCAAAGCTGTAAGGCCTACATAATCTGACTGTCCCCCCTCAGCTGCTGTTCTTTTCATTTATTCTCCAGCAGTCCTGGCCTTCATTCTGTTCCTTACACACTTCAGACTTGCTCAGATTCTTTGTACAAGCCGTTCCTTTTACCTAGAAAGCTCTTTGCTTCAATGACCAATCAGTGCTTGCTTCCTGTTGGTCACTGTTCTCATATCATTTTGTGAGATGATCCCTTACCTGGTTAAAGGTAGCACACCACACCCCACCCCCATTTCCCTTCTTCTTTATCCCTTTGCCGGTGTTTTTATTCTTGAGTGCGTGGTAGTTACTAAATAAATATTTGTAGAATTCATTGGTTAATGGATACTTTTTTATAACTCTTGAATTTTTGAATATATTATCTATTCAAAAATAACTTCAAACAATAAGACAAGGGAAAATGTACATTTAAATAAGAGAACTTTGCTTTATTTATTCCATAAGTTAGCTTATGCAATGCTTTGTATCCATTTTTGTATTCAATGTATGTGAAGGCTTTTTTCCATTGATATTTTCTGTATGGAAGCAGAATTAATCCCTTGCCCTTTCTTCTTCTTTAAGACTGTTTATGATGCTGTTATAGCATGTATCATAGCGAATCCCGGCATCTGCCCCTTCTCCTCCCACTGTCTGCCCTGCCCCCTCCCCCAGACCTTGAAAATTTTGTATCCTTGGTGCCAACCACAGTTCTTTGTATGTATTAGAAGGTGCTGAGTAAATATTAATTTTAAGTAAATTGTTAGCTTCTCTGCTAGCTCAGTAAAAGTATAATGCTAAACTTGAGAATGATTGATTAAAGACTGTATATAGTATCTTTATATTTTATTTTCATTTATTAAATAATGTATATTTATGCTTTAGGAAATACTTGGTGCTAGCATAGATATGAAGATTAAAACTCAGCCCCTGCCTTTGAGGAAGAGACTATTTAAGGAGGAGTTCAGGTACTTTGATAACATATTCACAGCACTGAAACTGTACGCTTTAATAGAGGACGTTGCAGAGTTCTGCGTGAGCACTGTAGAGGAGTGAGAGACTGAGTCCACTTCCTGAAGAAGTGTTTAAACTGTGAAGAAGC